CTTATGATGTACTATGTGTTGGCTAACTGAACATAATGAAAAATAAAAAAAGAATAAAAATAAAGATTCTATTTATTTGAGAGAGAGCGTGATTACAAATGGGGGGAGTGGCAGAGGGAGAGAGAGAAGCAGACTCCTCACTGAGCAGGGGGCCCTACGTGGGGCTTGATCCCAGGAAGCTGGCATCATGACCTGAGCTGAAGGCAGAGGCTTCACTGACTGAGCACCCCCAGGCGTCCAGCAAGGCCCTGTTTTTTATGATCCAGCAACACTGGCTCCCCTACCCCACCTCCATGTGTCCATACACGTGGCCAGCAGGAGCAACGTGTCTCTGGAGGCTGACCCCAGGGACTTTGCAGGGTGAGTCCGGAGGAGAGGTGGGAGAGGTAGTAACTTTTTCCACATACCTTTGCATTGTTCCCCCAGTTAAAATGAGGATCTATCTTAAAGAAATGAACTTTAATTTATAATGCAGGAAAGGAATAAAGGGTCATCATATTTCTCATGTAAAACATTGTCTTAATATCCTGACATGAAATTTGACTAACTGATACATAATTGGGAAACATGTCCAGTAAGTTAATGTGCATATTCTTTGGACAGATGGTGTTATTGCCTTTTTTGAAAATTGACTATATTATTGAAAAATCAATAAGGTAAATATCTCATTAGAAAAATGGTCAAATAACAGTTCAGATATTACCAATGGCCCATAAACCTAAAAATACTAATTGTTAATCTTGTTGATAACCAAATAAATGCCATTTGAAATGAGGAAGCAGCCTGCTGTGGGACGGAAAGAAGGAAGAGCTACGGAAAGGGGGGAGGTGCCTGAGGTGCAGGGTGCCAGGGGTTGTGGAGAGCACCTGCACGGTAGAGGCGTGAACAGCTGGACCCCCTCCCTGGGTCCAAAGTGAAGTGGGCACCAGCTCACTGTCCTGAACTCCACGGTCTCTATCCAAACCCAGCGGACCATCAGAGTTAATGTATAATCACCACTTAAAACATGAGAGAAGGCAAGGTCATTGTGGTGAGTGTGCGGGAGAGTCTGGGGGCTGGAGATGCAGGTGAGTCTGCAGAAGAGGCAGAAAGGGCATCATCAGAAGCAGAGGAAGGGGCTGGGGCAATGTCCTGGAGACCACATGGCATGGACTGTTCTTGGAGCTGAGTGGTGGGAGGCCCCACAGGACAGGAAGGCAAGGTGCAGGCTAGTGTGTGGGGGTCTTGAAGGTCTTTGTAAGGTTTTTGGGTTTTACCCTCAGGTAAATTCCTGGGAACCCACTGAGGGTTTTTCAACAGGTGAATGACCTGGCCTGATCTATGTCTTTAAAGGAGATTCTGACTGCTTTGTTCTAAATGGACCGAATGGGGCAGGCGTGATGTAGGGACCCAGTGGGAAGGGAGAAGAAGGTGCCACAGGTAAAGGCACGGCCAATGCCAAAGATGGAGAAGATCAGGCAGGACGTGATTGGGAAGAAGAGAGGCTCAGGGGTCCAGTTGAAGACCATCTTCCATCTGCTGCTCTACGTCTGCTGGAGTAGGACTCAGTCTGGCGGCCGCCAAAAGATGCCCAAGTTTTCCCTTTTGGGTTTCCTTTCTATTCCAGGAGAAGAGTCAAACTGATGATGAGGTGGGGGGACAAACAAAGGGACATGGAGGAATCCTGCTGGGGATAGTGTAGAGTCTTAATTAAGTGACTTTGAAGATGCCAAACCCATCACATTTCTAAACGTGGCTCAAGGGAGCATGTGGGTCTCCTGTAGACTTGATTTGCAATTACAACAAACTGTCTTCAACAGTGGCTGACATTCTAAGTGACAGTTCCATGGCCCACACAGGGTGGTGACTTGGCTCTACTCAGTCTGCCCACCCTCCTGGTGGCTTGTGTGGCTTTCCTGCTGTTTACCTTTGTGTGGAGAAGAGGAGGCACTCGTGGGTTTCTGCTCCCACCTGGCCTTCTTCCTCTTCCCATCATTGGGAATATCCTGCAGGTGGAACTTCGGGACCTGCCCACCTCTCACTCCAGGGTAAGACCCCCTCAGGTATGACCAGCTGCTCCCTGGGTTGGTATAAGTGCTTTACTCAGATTTCCCAGCTAATGTTGGTGGGGGGGAGGTTGTTTCTTTCAGTTGTACTAGAATATCCCACTTTTTGTTTATTTGATCCTCTTAAAGAGACCAGGAGTTGTGACCCTCAAACATGGTTCCATTCTTAACTGATGGCTCTCTGAGGTCCCTTTCATGGTCTCTGACATGAGAGGGAGCTTCCAGCTTTGATTCAGACAGACACTGAACAAGAGCCCCATAATACCTGGGGCACCTGTTCAGTGAGGATTGTATCCATGGGACAGTGTGGTCATTGCCAAAGCTGCACCCCATTGTCATGACGCAAAGTGCCCACCACCCATCCGGCTTTCCAACTGTAGATCTGGAGGTCAACTCCAGGGAGACCTGTCAGCATGTTATTTCCACATCCATGCCCTTTGGTTAGTCCAGTGCCTTGTGGACCCAGGGATCAAAGGCATCCACTCAGGAAGGGCTATGAGGGGTATAGGGGCATCAGAATCCTCAGACAGCAGTGGATTGTGACCTGAGTGAGGGAGAGGTGGGTGAACATGTCCTAGACTGCCTTGTGGTCTAGAAGCTTCTGCAGGGCCTTCATGGAGTCCCTCATCCCCACTGGTGGAGAGATGGACATGGGCACTCAGTGGTGCCCACTGGAGTGTCTCCACTTTTCCCCATGCCCACCTGGGCACCTTCCTGTCCCAGCCTGGCTGGGATTCTACTGCTAGTCATGTGCTTCTTTCCCTGGCGTCAACTCTGCTCCCCTCTCTCCCTTCCAGGAATCTATGCCTCTGCCAGGCCAGGCTCAGAGGGACACGGGTGGCCCTACTCACAGTCCCCAAGCTCCCGGGGCCCCTTCATACTCCTGCAGCCTCAGGATGTCCCTTCCTTCCTTCTTCCTGCTCTCCTAGGGGACTATTTCTCTTTTTCTGCCTGCTCTTATTTCTTCAAACCTCCATCAGTGTCCCCTCTGGCCCCCATGTGGTTCTCACTCCCATTTCTCTGAGAAAACCAGGCTGTCAGAGAACATGTCCTGAGGCTTCCACGCCAGCAACCCAGAGCACCTCAGCTTCCAAACCATGAAGCTCACAGGCTCTTTGCACTGACAGGCACGCAGCTGTGCCACCGCTGCCTGCCTCTGCACCTCCCCTTGCTTTCCTCTGTCTAGAAGGAATGCTCTTGTTCTCAGCGCTGCTCAGACCAGAGGCCAGGAGTCATCCTGACTCCCCTCTCCCACTACATCCTGGCCACCAGCAAACCCCTTACTCTACCAAGAAAAGACATCAGGAATCTGGCCTCTCTGGACCTGGATCAATCCAACACAGCTTCCTGCCCACAGATGCCCTTCTTTCCATTCTGTCCATGCTCCACACAGGGAGACCCTGGAGGGGGAAGCCCACTCCCTCAGCAGCCAGTGCCCCTCTCTGACACACACAAAAGGCCTCATGGGACCTGGACCTCCCACTTCCCCAGACCCATCCTCCCACCACCTAACCCCCTGCACCATCTCCCATGCTCTCCTGTCCTCCGCTGCCCACCATGGCCACTGACCTCCTCACTCCTTCCCAACACAAACACCCTCAATTCTCAGGGCTTTGCTGGTCCCTCTGCAGTGGCTACTGTTCCCACAGATATCTGCCTGGCTGGCATTCCCATCTTTCTTGGTGTTAAAATGCTGCATTCAAAGGAGACCCTCTCTAGTGGCCTTCTCTTGAGGATGAGAGCACCACCAGCCTTCTGCCCCTCCTCACTGGTGTTTCCCATCGGCATGCCTGCATGGAGGCATACTCTGGACTTGACCGTCATATGTTGCCCACTAGAATGTCTATCAAAGAAGATAAATTTCTTGCCATGCCCTGTCTTTCCTCAGTCCTGAGACACTGTGTAGTACCTAGTATTTGTCGAATGCTTAGTAAGTGGTTTGTTCTCTCCAATAAAGGAAGGGATTAGGGAAAGGCACAAGAGGTTGAGAGGCCAGAGTGTGAGTCCCTGCACAGACATGCTGCCCTCATGTCAGCATGGCCCCCGTCTGCAGCCCTGAGTCTTGGCTGGGACACACTGATGGAGAGGGTGCTGGCCAGACATGGGGGCTGCTGGGAGGGAGTGTCTCCATTTCCAACCGCCCCTGTGCATCCAGGAGTTGGGCTAGTTGTTCAGGTGTGCCTTGCCACTGTCCCCAGCTGGCTAAGCAGCACGGCCCCATGTAAGCACTGCGTCGGGGCCCCCCATCCAAGTGTCGTGCTATATGGACACCAGGTCCTGAAGGATGTCCTGTGCCCTCAGGAAGTCACTGCAGATGTTGCAGAAACAGCAAGAGAACTTGAATCAGAAATGGGGCCTGAAGATGGGACTGGATTATTGTGATTTCATGACAAAACTTCAGCAGATGAGGGGTTGCTTCTTGGGGGTGAACGAAGAAAGTGGTTTCTTGAGAAGGACTCTACTGCTGGTGGTGATGCCGTGAAGATTGTTGAAATGACAACAAAAGACTGGAATATTAGATAACCCTAGTTGATCAGGTAGCAGTGGAGCTTGAGAGGGCTGACAGCAACTCCAAAAGAAGTTCTGTGGGTAAGATGTTGTCAAACACCATCCCATGCTACAGAGAAATTGTTCATGTTTCCTCCATACTAGGATTTGACCAATTAGGGACAACGTCTCTCATTTGGTGAAATCAGGATCTCATAATAAACCAGAAATCCCCGGTATCCTCACGAGGTTAGAGGCCAACTCCCCGGCCCCCAGCCCGCTCCCGCGCAGCTGGACACATCACCTCCCAGGACTCCTAAAAGACTGAGCGCAGAGGCTTGTGGGAAATGTAGTCTCCCGCGACAACGACGAATGCCCGCGCGGGACTCTGGGTCTTCCGGGTTCCTTCTGCGCACGTGCGGACCCGCCCCTCCTCTTCCGCCCGGAAATCCGGCTCCCTGCGGGTGTCGGCCGCTGTGGCTGCGGGCCCCGGTGGGTTGGGTCCTGTGTCCCCGAAGGTCGGTGCGAGGGGGAAAGGGGAGCCCTGCGGCCGGCGGGAGCTCGGCCGGGGGCGGGGCCTGACGTGCAGGCGCGACCCGTGGAGCGAGACCCGGTGGGCGGGGCGACGGGGCTTCGGGGCCCGCGGTTCGGGCGCCGGCTGGGCGCGCTCGGGCTGTGCTGGCGGCGGTCGCTTGGCCGGAGAAAGCGCGCTGCGGGGAGCCCAGCGCGCGCTGCGGGGGGCTGGGCCCGGCGGCGGCGAGGGTGGGGGTGGGTCTGCAGGCGGTGCTCGTGCCGGTTCCCGCTCGGGCGTGGCGCGAGCGTCTAGATGCGGAGCGCGGGGTCCCGGTCCGCGGCGGGGTCCGCGAAGCTCCTCCCGGGAGCGGTCGTGTGCGCGGGCTCTCTTGAGGCTTCTCCGAGGCTGGGGGTCGGGCCCCCCGCACTGTGCGGTCTGCCGAGCGCTGGGCTCGCGGCAGCGTCTGCAGGACCTGGTTTGCAGGCGTCGCTGGCTGCAGGAGCGACGGCGCGGCCCCCGACGGCCATCCTGTCTTCTCTGGAAGGGGCCCCTGTGACTTGAGCGGAGGCAGAAGAGTCCCGGCAGGGAGAAGACCCCAGCTTTGCATGGCCAAGCGCGTACGGAACAGGGTTGGGGGTGCCACCTCCCCCAGAGGGCACCAGAGGCTGCGAGTTATGGGAAGGTTGGACCTGCTCTCGGGAGACCTGAGCCAGGCTGAGAGGGGCGGGCGACGGCGCGAGATGTCACTCGCCGGAGGGGCCTGGTGTGAGGGGGAGGGGTAACCTGCTGAGGCTGAGAGGCCACTCGCCCCGCCGACCCCAAACACTGCCTGGCTCGGTTCTCCACTCAGGGTTTCTGTTGCCTGAACTCCCTCCGCTTGCGCAGCTGGAGCTGCTTTCCGCGCCCCCGCGATGGCCCGGGACGGGTCTGGGGGCACCTCTGCCTTACGAGAAAGGTGGGGGCAGGAAGGGGCTCCAGGGCGCGAGTGGGCTGCCGGCTCCCCGGATTGCACGCGTCGGGGAGCCCGACTTGGGGGCGGTGTGCGTTCTCTCTCTGGCCACAGTGAGGCCACGGCCGTGTCTGTTTCTGACGCCTTTTTTGATAAATGCGGTCACTTAGGACAACCGTTTCTTAGGGGAACTGCCTTAAACATGCCTGTCCCACTTTCCCTGATGTCTTCTCTGTCCTGCGGGTGCTCAAGGCATTAACAGGGCAGGTGTTCCCGCTGAAACCCGTAACCTGTCTGAAGATCAGAAATTCTACCGTGCGAAGCCAGAGCCCGTTTTTCCATTTCCGGTGTGTGAAATGGGAAGGTTGGGCGGCAGTTTTCTTCTCTAACCCATCTCTCGGGCTGCAGGTCAGACCCCGCATGCGCCCAGCTGTAGCCAACAGACTTGTGTCGAAGTAGGGGTGTTAAGACAGGTGTTTGCGGGCTCCCCACGGCCGGTCTTCCAGGGCCTCACTGGAGTCCAGCGAGCGGGCAGTCTTCCCACCCCTTAGAGGTGCGGTGTGCGGTTGTCAAGTTCTGTCGCTGGTCCTTGGTGTAAAATTCAAGACTTTCTCCCCGTGTACATGCTGAGCTCGGGGGTTTAAGTGTATCACGTTCGCGTTTGCTGGGTAACAGGCCAACCGCATTGAATGACTTTAAACAACAGTCATTTTAGGTTTTGAGGTCCTGCGGCTCCGCACTTGGGGCTGGGTGTACTCTGTCGGTTCCCATCGGTGCCTGGTTCCCAAGAGAGGCCGTGATCATCGGGTGCCGTGGCTGGGGTTGGTCGGTGAAGGCGATTTCATTTCCTTCCTGGTGGTTGGTGCTGGCTGTTGGCTGAGCCTCGTATCAGGCCTGTCCCGGGCCTCTTCACGGAGGTCAGCGGAAACGAGTCCGGGGTGTGTGCTGCGTTCCTTTTGACGAGAGCAGGTCACGTGGCGAAGCCCACGTCCGTGTTGGAGGAAGTGAACACATGGGAGCAGGTCATGGAGAACCGTCACTGGAAGAGTGCACAGCAGCACAGCATTCCGTGTCCCTTACGTGTGTCTCTTCCTGTAAAGTCACGGCCAGCAGTGTTGCGTCTACTTTCTGTGAAGACGAGGTATTTACACCGCAGGTGTCCTCGTGGAGACACTGCTGTGAAGCCCTGCGTGTGCGACTCTGTTAATAGGAACATAAACAATCGTGCTTTAATGAGCATCTTCAAGATCTTAAACCGATTCTTTCTGTTCACTGTTATAAGTCAGTAGGGAATATGTGTTTTGATGAACAAACTGTATGTGTAAATTAATGGGCCTGTAACAGGGTCTTTCCTGCCCTTTCTCAAGGTATAAAATTCTCTCGCCCCACAGGAGCTGCACACTGTCTCCCTCTCGTCTTCGCTAGCCGGTGTGGAGAGCTTCAGACAGGAGAGTCCAGGCTGTGGGAGCGGAGCCCCAGCGTCTTGGCCTGTAGCCGGTCTGGTCGCCTCCTCTCCCAGGGATCCCTCCAGAGCCCTCTGTGCGCTTCCCGGAGCAGCGGACGATGAACACATCTCTGGTGAGTCGTTGGCGTGTTTGCCCTCAGCTTGTTTGACGTGGCACTTCCTAAGCTTGGTGAGGAAGGGCTCAGGCTTTATTTATTTATTTTAATTTTATTTTATTTTTCAGTGTTCCCAGATTCATTGTTTATGCAGCACACCCAGTGCTCCATGCAGTCCGTGCCTCCTTAATAAGGGCTCATGCTTTACAATAGAAAAGTAGAAGTAAGTAAAATGCAGCTTCAGGGTGATACGCGGAAGCACGGGGACAGTGGCATGCGGATGTGGATGGGTTATATGACCTGAGAGTCGTCCCAGGTGAGTGCAGGTTGGTCTCTGGTGTTTCCGATGCCACAGCAGAATGACACACAGTGTTGCTACCTGTTCAGAAAGGACCCTCAGAAGAGGCGTGTCCCATTCTCACAGGACCTGGACTTTGCAGGCACAGAAGTCCGAAGCGGTGCCTTTGCTGGTCACACGGCTGAGGGGCGGACAGTGTTTTGCCACCAGTCCGGAAGTCAGCACTTGCAGCGCGGTGCGGCGGTCGTGGTCACCTGGTGCCGGAACGCAGTTTGCCTGAGAAAGCTTTGTTAAGGGAGAGTCCCAGGCAGCTTCTGGAGGGCCCTGCTGGGTCCGCGGCCCCACTGCGGCCACGGCCCGAGCCCTGCTAGAGTCAGACCCTGGGGTGTCTGCGGGACTGGCCGGCTGCAGGTCTTACTCTCCACGTGTTTCTGTCAGCCGGTCTGTGTAGGCTGTGTGTCCGACTGTGGAGAGTGGTATTTTCTGAGAGAGAGTTCCACGGCTGTTTGCGCCTTACCCTACTCCCTGTCGTCTTCATTCATGTCTTCTAAGTGTAGAAATAACCCTACAACCTACAGAGCGACCCAGATTATGTTTGATTCAGTAATGGTGCTGGGGGCTGTGCCTCACTCGACTCTTCTGCCGTGGGAAAACTGCTGTGCAGGGTCTTCTCCTGGACGTTCTCGTCTGTTAGCTTCTGGGGCGGCCTCCCTGGTGGTTTTTCTGCTTGTTCCTCTCCTGAACGCAGCTCATCCCGGTGTTCAGATCTGGGCCCCATTTTCACACTCTGTGGTTTTCCTGGACTTGTCTGGCCCTCTGTGGTTGGACAGTCTGGACAGCGCCTCTCTCCAGCTCGGACCTCTTCCCTAGCCTTTCGACCACTAGTCCAAGCCCCTGGGGAATGGTTTCGTGCAGCCGTCCAGAAGGCGCCCCAAGCGGAGTGAGTCCTGTGGGAAAAGCGCATCTTCCTTTCTTCTCTCACGTGTCCTTCTTCCAGTTAGCCAGTGACCGTCACGACCAAAATGGAGTTTCTGTTCTCCCTCTCTCTCCCCACGAACCTTGACTGGCATCGAGGTCTGGACAAATGGATAATGAGATGGAGCCGCCATTTCAGTCACACCCCACTGCAGTCATACAGAATAGCGTCATTGTCCTCCAGCTCCTCCGTGCTCCTTCTGTTCATTCTTCCTGCCTCCTAGCCCTTGGCCGTTGGTGATGCTTTTCCTGTCTCCGTAGTTTTGCCTTTGACAGGCAGGCGTGCAGTTGGAATCACACGGTATGTGGTCTTTGACGTTTGCTCCTTTTACTTACTAGGGTGCATTTGCGTTTCCTCCCCCATTTTCCCCTCGCCCCGATAGCTCCTTTGTCTTCAGCCCCGCGTGGCGTTCCCTTGTCAGAGGGGGGCACAGTTGATTCGTGCATCCGCTGAAAACATTTGGTCACGTCCAGGTGTTGATGGTTATGAATAAAGCCGCAGTAGGCATCCGTGTGTTGGTTTCCAGATGGACGTAAGTTTTCAGCTCCTCCAGATGCGTATCAGAGGTGCAATGAAGGGATCGTGGGTTGGAAGTTTGTGTGTACTTGTGCGGACGGTACAGCTGTCTTCCAAATGGCTAAACCATTTTGGTGGCTCGATATGGCAGCCATAGCAAGTTAAAACTCTGCACTTCATTCCGTTACCTTTTTATTCACTCCTCACAGGGTTTACCACACGAGTCTTTACCAAACATACTAGAGTAGTCGTGCCCTACTTCATAGAAAATAGGAACTTTTGAATAGTATAAATCCATTGCTGCCCCTGTCGTGTGAACTGTGGATCGTACACACGTGTGTACATACTGAACCTACAGACGTTATGAGTGCCCTGTACATTGTTGCAGTGTTTTCCCTAAAGGATCATGTTTTTTATAGACGTGAAGAAGGAAAATGCATATATATATATATATATATATATATAGTTCTTATATTTTCCTACACACTTGGCATTTCCAGTGATTTGATTCTGTCTTATGGATCCAGATTATCTGGTGTCACTTTGTTTCAACCATGGAGAAGGTCCTTTGGCATTGTAGTGCCGTCTTCCGATGAAGAATTATGTTAGTTTGTATTCCTCTGAAAATGTTTGTATTTCACTTCAGTTTTGTAGCATAACTGCTCAGTGGGTGCAGAATCATGGAATCGAAGGATTTACATTCACCACTTTGTTTTCCCATTGTTTCTGATAAGTTGCCCGTCCTTCCACGTACTTGTACCTGAACGTGCTTGCTCTTCTCTGGCTGCTTTCACGATTTCTCTTTATTTTTGGATGTTGGCAGGTTGGCTGTGATGTGCCTAGAATAGGTTTGTTTGGTTTTTGTTTTTTGTTCTTTTCCTAAATCTAACTTAATTATGGGCACTGAAGTTAATAAATCTGAATATTCAGGTCATTCACAAAATTTGTGAAGGTTGTAGCCATTGTTTCTGAAATATGTGAATGCTCTATTTTTCCTCCTTTCCTCATGGAACTGCAATTACATGTTGTTAGACTGTTTTTTAAGTTGTTTATGGGCCTCTTTTTATTTTTCTTCATTTTTTTCTCTCATAAATATTAGAAAATATCTGTTGATCCATCTCCCAAGTTCAGAGACTTTCTTTTGCTGTTGTTCCCAGTCTGAGGTAGGAAATTGCTGCTGTGGTATCCCTTTACCTTACCCCACAGTACAGAGTACAAACCATGGGTATATTTTGTACAAGACCAAACACACAAAAAAGAATGAACTCCTAGACTTCCTGTTCTGATCCAGGCTAATGCCTTGAATTGAGGTACGTGTCATTCCAGGAATTGGTGTCCTTTGAGGACGTGGCTGTGAACTTCTCCTGGGAGGAGTGGCAGGACCTGGATGATGCTCAGAGGACCCTGTACAGGGCCGTGATGCTGGAGACCTACAGTAGCCTGGTGTCACTGGGTGAGTGAGAGTGTTCTGGCAGGTGTAGGCCCTTTCCTCTTCGTGGGTAAAGGTGCAGCGGTGTATGAAGTGAAAGGCTGCTCAGGTTTAAGATCCGTGGCCCAGAAGAATGTGCGTGCTCACCCCCTAATCGGACGTTCATGTTGGCCCTTCACCGTACAGTCCTTGGAGCTCTGCTCATGTCATTCTTCAAAGGCCCTGAAACTTAAGCAGTTTGTTAAAAGTCCCACTTACTTCTGATCAACAGGGCACTGCATTTCCAAACCTGAGGTGATTGTCAAGTTGGAGCAAGGAGCAGAGCCGTGGGCTGTAGGGGAAGCCCCAACCCAGCGCCTCCCAGGTCAGTGAGTGCATACTGGGCAGGGGTCTATGAAGAGGAGAGCCGATGTTGGCCGTGCTGGGCTGTTTTCCCAGGTGCTTTTCCCAGGTCCAGACCTCAGGACAGTGAGTCTGCATGGATCACACTCCTGCCTTCTTCACTCTCACAGTATGGCTCTCACCCACAAATGTCCCCTGCTTTTTTTAATTGCCCACTCTTTTCTTAGACTTATCCAAAATCCATTCCTTACCTGCCTCCTCTTAGAATATCTTTCTTCGTTAGCCGTTGTCTCTGGGTTCAAAGATGCCCTCCTTTCCTCCATTCTCATGCACTGTTTTCTTTCGAGTGTTTGTTTATACCCTCATTTATTCTTTCAACACAGGTTAAGCATGGGTCATCTTGTAGTTGTGGGGATTACAATGGTAATCAAATACATGCCATCCTTTCTAGGAGATTACTTTCAGTTGAGTCAGAATGAAGCAAATACACAAAACACTAAGAAGTGGGTAACAATCAGAAATAATGTTTTACCACTCTGAGAGAAAAACTGGGGTGTGTTATTTTAGTAGGGAAGCCCAGAGAAAGTATTTTTGAGGGAATTATCAAGACTTTACTTTCAGATAGCTTTAACCTGAGGTGATAATTTAGATTTTCCCGTGTTGACAACATAACCCGTACGGGGTATAATGTCGGGAGTGGAGATTAGGCGTCACTATTAGGAGCTGCAAACTAGAACAGTCTTCAGCCTGACTGGTGTTTGAGGCACAGGATGAGCGGAGGTTGCCCAGGTAGTTGTTAAGGAAATGAGAGAGCGCAGGACCAAGCCTTGTCAAGCGCAGAATCAGTGTCACAGGGGGCGGTGTGGAAAGGGGTGATCCACAGCATGGGGGCAGAATCTGGAGTGCATGCCTTCTCAAGGCCAGTGAAGCCAGGGGTTTCAGGATGCAGTTGCTCCTGCTAAGTAACCCTAATATAACAGAGAATCCAGTCCATGCATGGACTCCATTTCCACTGAAAGTAGGACACAGCTGATACTCCAGAGTGCAAAACAGAAGCCTTTAGAAACAGCAAATTGTCAAGTAGGGATGCACTAGCAGGAAGCAGAGCACAGCAAAACAGGTGAGACTGCTTTTCCCAGAAGCAGCCAGAAAAAGACTTTTCAGAGCTCATGGGTGCAGCCTGTGTTGCAGAACCTAAATTGTTGAGACCAGCAGGGAGGGTAGCCCAACGAGGAGAATTGGAACTTGGTTGTAAGAAGCCAAGGCATAGGGTTTCATTAGGAGTTAGCAGAAAGCGGTCTTTGGCTAGCGTGGAGAAGGAGAGAGGATGCCTGTAGCCATCCCCCAAGAAGTAGTGAAAAAATAAAGAAACGTGGGTACAGATCCTTGTCCCTAAGCGGTATCCCTGCTTAGGTGACAAATGGCCATCTACTGTATCCTAAAGTAGCCAATCCAGGACGATCCTGTCACCTTCAAAGCTGAGTGATGAGGAAAGGCCAAGCAAAAAGGAATGTGCAGTTATTGTGAGAGAAAACAGGAAACGGAACAGAGATGACAGATGAAAAAACTCAGCCGAAACTGTGGCTAGGGAGTAGGTGACTGTTGTGACTTCCTCTTGGATCCAGAAAGGAAAAAAGAAACTTAAAAAAGCAAAACCGAGGGCGCCTGAGTGGCTCAGTGGGTTAAAACCTCTGCCTTCAGTCAGGTCATGATCTCAGGGTCCTGAGATCGAGCCCCACATCGGGCTCTGCTCAGTGGGGAGCCTGCTTCCCCCTCTCTCTCTGCCTGCCTCTCTGTCTTGTGATCTCTGTCTGTCAAATAAATAAATAAAATCTTTAAAAATAAATAAATAAATAAAATCTTAAAAAAAAAAAAAAAGAAACGACAAATAAAACCGTGATTTGATATTCAAGAATCTATTAGTGTCATTTGTTACATGAATTCGTTAGGGAGAAAAATAATACGCTTATCATAACATACCCATTATTGATTCTTTAAAATTCATATCCTGCTGTTGTTGGGTCTGTTATCAAAGGCACGAGACTGAGACAAAGTTATGCAAAGCCTTATTCTATGCCAAGCATTGGAAGTCAGACTGACTGGCCAGGGCCGCCTCCGAAGAGAGCGACGCCCCTTGGTCTTACAGGCTAATTTTATAGGGCACAACCACAGACCTCTACGTATGTGGCTTTGGCTGATTGGATGTCTCCTACCTGTGTGTTTTAGCAACGGTTACCTGGAACCGATACTAGTAACTGCTGAGGCATTTATTAAACAACAAAGTGGCTACCTAGGCAACATGGAGTCACTCTGGCTAAGCAGGCCCAAGCAGGCCCTAGGGGTTTAACAGGTTTTAACGTGGAATCGGCCCCAATACTGTGATGGAAAGAAACTGCTTTATTCCTACACAAATCTTCCATAAGAAATGCTTAGGTGTGGTTCACAGACGTGGTTCCTTTGTCTCACTTCAGACGTCCAGAGTGCAGGTGACCTGATTGAGGCCTGCCAGGAGCATCAGAGCAGACATGTGGGGCAAGTTGGGTTCTCCAGCAACAAAAGGTCAGCTACAAAGAGAACCGCCTTGGACAAACCATTTAATTTGAGCGCAATCCACATTTCAGACCTGGTTATAAATAATGGAAACTGTTCAGGAATGAAGCCAGAGGAGTTTGATGTGTGTCAGAACATGTTTCTCCCTGGTGAGCCTGATGAGATGCATGGTGGAGAGCAGCCTGAGGACCGTAATATGAGCGGCAAACCCTTCGGGTGTGAACACCGTAGTTTTCATCAGAAGGGTCAGATTTTGCAGCCACCTTTTGAATTTGGTGGGCAAGGGCACGACTTTAGCAAGGAGACAACCACCTTTACACATAGCAGTGCTCCTGTGGGAGAGACTGCCTGTAACTGTGATGACTGTTGGAGAGCCTCTGACAAGTCTGCTGTCGTTGTCCAGGAGAGAACTCACATAGGGGAGGGTCACTGTAGGTGTAACAAATGGGGGAACACCTGCCTGAAACCAACCCAATCGAATCTTCACAGAGCTGATTTGGAGGAGCAACACTGTGAATGTGATCAAAGCAGGGACAATTTCAGCAAGAAATTACACCTTTCTCGGCTTTCAAGAACTCAGGAGAGAAAACTTTTGAATGTGACGTATGTGGCAAAACTTTCCACAAAAAGTCTAATCTCAGTAAACATCAGAAAATGCACACAGGGGAGAAACCTTATCAATGTAGCGAGTGTGAGGAAACCTTTATCAGTAAAACAGTTCTTACAGTACATTGGAGAACTCATACAGGGGAGAAACCCTGTGCATGTATCGAGTGTAAGAAATCTTTCTGCCATAAGTCTCACCTAACTGTTCATCAGAGAACCCACACAGGAGAAAAACCATATGAGTGTTACGAATGTGGGAAATCTTTCTCTGTGAAAACCAAACTCACTGTGCATCTGAGAACACACACAGGGGAGAAGTCCTATGAATGCAACGAGTGTAGGAAATCCTTTTACCAGAAGTCAGCCCTCACTGTACATCAAAGGATTCACAATAGAGAGACACATCATGAATGCAATGATTGTGGTAAAACCTTCCATAAGAAGTCCATTCTCACTGCACATCAGAGAACTCACACAGGAGAGAGACCTTATGAATGTAAAGAATGTGGGAAATCCTTTGGCCATCGCCCAGCTCTTACCGTACATCAGAGAACGCATACAAGAGACAAACCTTATAAATGTAACGAATGTGGGAAATCTTTCTGTGTAAAGCCAAAGCTCACTGTGCATCTGAGACTTCACACCGGTGAGAAACCATATGAGTGTAAGGAATGTGGGAAAACTTTCTACCAGAAATCAAAACTCACTGTACACCAGAGAACTCACACAGGTGAGAAACCTTATAAATGTAACGAATGTTGGAAGACCTTTTGTGAGAAGTCAACTCTCAATAGGCATCAGAGAACTCACACGGGAGAGAAGCCCTATGGATGCAAAGAATGTAGGAAGACTTTCTACCAGAAGTCAGCCCTGACTGTGCATCAGAGAACTCACACAGGAGAGAAGCCCTATGGATGTGATGCATGTGGGAAAACCTTCTGTCAGAAGTCACACCTCAGCAAACATCAGAGAACTCACACTGGGGAGAAGCCATGTGTGGCAGAGACTGGCGATATGTACACCAAAACTCACTTTCTCTTTGTGTTGGGCACACAGTTCACCTGCATTTCTCGGCTCCCGTTTACTGTGGGTGGAAGCACGTAATTGAGCTCTGGCCAAGAGATCATGAACACAAATTATGAAGTTACTTCCATGCCTGGCCACAAAAAACTTACTTGCCTTTGCTGATTTTTCATTCCTTGTGCTCCGGAATGCAGATTGCCCACAGGTGTGTCTTTGGAGCCACAGGGTGAAGATGGCAACCAGGACTTAAGGCAGAAAGGACCGACTGGGGAGGGCAAAGATCTTCCCAACGCTGCCTCACAAATCTTCACCTGCACTTACCTGAGTGAGAAGTAGTCACTGTTGAATCCTATGTGTGACCTATTTCCAACAATGTGAGTCCATTGTAGCTAGTTCAGTTTGCGAATTTGAGGTTGGATTTTCGTGTAAGTCCTTGTGTCCCAGTCCTCGTGTAAGAGAGTCACACAGGAAAGAACCTTTGTTGTCCCTTTTCATCCCCAAGCAATGGATGGAAAAATCAAATCATAGGAAGAAAGAAATTCAATAAATGCAGGAATGCCTTTATTGGGCAGAGACAGGTCATTGAACACTGAGGATAATGTAAAACCTTATAAATATCTTTAATGTGTCCCAATTTTCAACAGAATGTCCAGCTTTATATCAGTGAATTTTTCATGAAGCAAAAACTATCAGTTTAGGTAATGTGGGTTAAAAAAATTCAGATAGAAATGATACATACTATATTAAAGAAAATTTTTGAAAGACTATAGACCATTTGTTCTCTGGGGTGATTTTTGCCTCTACAGGGACACTTGGCAATACTACTCCTGGTGAGTAGCACAGTCAATTCTGAGTTTTTCTATTTGGGGTTGTTACAGGGCCCACAAAGATCCTAAGGGGTGGAGAAGTAGAGTCCACCTGTTGATGTAAAGGCATCTTACAAGAGCGTGTGGCCGTCTCTGGAAAATACAGTGGGACACCACCTGCTTTCTGGCCACAGAGTTCACATCACTATAAATGCACACACACGAACACTCAAAGGGTTCCAACTTATAAAGCTATTTGGCTGAACATCTAGGACGTCGTCCTCTATCAGGACAAGGTGCACAGTCTCTGGGAGCAGTGCCTTCTGTGTGGTTGCTCTTAGTCTGAAGCCATGTGACCTCAAGTGGCCACTTAGGTGGCCCACAGTGTAGCATGGAGATGGGGACACTCAGTCCACTCAAAGGGGAGGGCAATTGGGAGGCACTCAGCCATCTGTGGTCCCCAAGAACTCTGAAGTCTAGCAGGGCACCCCATCAGCCCCTTGGTCAGGGTACAGTGGGTCTGAGGGTGACTTCCAAAGCTATGGGTTCTGCACTCTGTCACCTCATCCAACACATAACCACATAACCAGTTTTTTGTTTGTTTTTACTCTAACTAGTTTCTTCAGGTGTATTTCCTGCCCAGAGGGCTCTTTTCATTTGAACTGTTTCTAAACTTATTTCAAATTGATTTAATTTCCTTTAAAAAGTTTTTGGATTTTTGATCTATTAAATTATAATCCACTCCATTAGATGAAAGCCATCCCCCACCACTCTGCCTCAAACAGAGTGATGTGGGGAGAATGTCCCTAAGATTTGCAAAGACCCTCTGTGTCATCCGTCGTGAGGATTTACAAGGCTTAAGAGTCTCAGAGGAGGGTCTTAGAGCAGCATCCTTGGTCTGAGATTGACTCTGAGGCTCCATTTTGCTGATAGTGTCCTGAATGTGATCTTTAGCCTGAAGTCATTTCCTATCTCAGGGATCCTCTTTTCTGCCTGGAGAAGCTGGGAAGGAGGAGCAGTTCCATTTTCAAACCTGGGTAGTCCTGGCTCCTTGGTATTTTGTCTAGATTAATCTTTAAGACTGAACAGTTTCTTTTAGCTCATCTATCTCTACGTATACCTTATGGTAAGTGATGCTACCAGCTACGTTTTCTGTTCGTCTCAGCTAGGGACCCACCCTAGGTAGCCCAGCTCTGTGGTGAGGGGGCTACATTCCTCCTTTTCCAGGCGACACAATCTTTGGGTTTCCAAGGAAAGGGCCAGCATTTCTCATCGTGGGCTTAGCTGAACTGCAGTTCTTTGAAGTGATGTTTCCATTGTCGTGCAGGGGAATATACCAGTTTCCAGGACATGTGAGTTACTTTTATGTTACCAGTTCATTTATGATACAGGTCTGATGAACCCCATCTCAGAACGCTGGGAGGTTGATGCTTAGTGTGTCATATTTTTCCGTTCTTCCATAGTGCTTCTAATAGTGCTCTCCAGACTGGGGGCCTGTTTGGACCCCTCTCCATCCCACCACGTTACTGTCCTACCTGGATGTGGGAGCCTTTCAAGAGAAGGAATCTCTTTCTTCTTCAGTCACTGTATTTTGGCTTAGGATCACAGACTCTGACAAGCCTTGCTACCCTGAATTGGGCAAGTGCATTTACGTGCTTTGAAACATACTTCAGAAGTACACAACAGTCTTGGGTGACTGAGTCCCAGGACAATGAGGAACCCTAACACACTATGCTGTAGTGACACGTGTCTCAGTTACATATTTTGTTCCACAAGAGCACGGACTACACTTGGCCTCCAATTATGTTTCTTTTTCTCAGCTAATTGGTGGGGACTGTGGGCAAAGTACTGATTGGCTGAGAACCCCAACACCCTGCTCCTCATTTTTGGGATTTCTGGGATCCTGTATAATTCAGGCCTGAATAAGGAATTGAAACTATCACAGGGTGAGTCTGCAGAATGTGAATCCTTCTGCCCGGAGACCCAGAACCACATGTTAAGTCCTAGAAATGAGCAAAGCAGAGACTGTAAGGTTAGGGAAGCACTTGCTGAGTGCCTGCTGCAGAACTCTGGCCAAGGCCAAGAGGAGACGTGGCCAGAGCTTTACCAAGGCTCGAGGGTCAAGGGTCTTGGGCCAGACAAACCCTTCCACCCCTGCACAAACTCTGATGAGGCAGTTGTACTGAAATAGTGCTTTTATTTCTTGAAGTTCATGGAACATGCTCCAGGGCAGGGAGAGTCCTCCTTGCCTACGAGGGCACAGGGCCTTGCTTGGTGGGCAGCTCTGGGTCTTTCTCCTCAATGACTCCTAGGAGCTTGGGATTGGCCTGTGGGAGGTCAGGGTCTGAGGAGGCAAGCCTCCATGCATCCCTGTGACCACACCCTCACTGGGACCTGCCTCTTTCTAACCCACGCCGCCAGCCTCTGCACTTTTGTCTTGGTTGTGCCCTGAGAACACCCCCAAAGACCATCCTCCGAGGACTCTGTGGTTCCCCTTCCTTGCTTTCCTGTGCCCGGCTCCTTTCGTGAGCTATCTCTGCTCCCTGCCACCGAATTCCAGGACTCACAGGTTCTCCTGGGCCAGCCCCTTCCTCTTGTTTGCTTTGGCCTCCAGCAGGGATCTGCATCCCAAGCTTTTCCAGCTCCTCCTTAAGCCTGGACCAAAAAGGGAGAGGCAAGCAGAGGAGAAGGGACAAGATGGTGTGAGGAGACCAGGAGACCTGTGAAAAGGGAGCCGAGATGCCCTCAGCCACTGTCCCCTTGGGATGAGGGGCCGGGCCTCCATGCCCACCTCTGCCTCCTCTGCTGCAGCTGCTGGCACTTCTGCTGCAGCTGCTCGTGGTGCCGTGCGGCGGCCTCCAGGAGCTCCTGGGCCTTCTTGTTCTCCTCCTCAAACAGACGCCTGAGGGTGCAGCTGTCAGCCATGGCAGCTCCCTCCCTCCTCCCCATTCCCGTCCCCATCATCTTGCTCTTACACCGCAGCTGCTGCTTCCTGGCTGCGGAGAAAGAGCCCTTCAGCTATGGCCGAGCAGCCATCAGCCGCAAACTGGGAGCACAGGCGATGCTTCACGTCCTCCAGCTTTGCCTCCACAAGCTTCTCTGCAGCAGTAAGGGACTGATGAGCAGGGCAGGGCAGGGCAGGACACATCAAGGCCGCCCCATCCGCCAGGCCTCACCTTCTTTGAGCAGTTGCTCCTTGCTGCTGTCCAGGGTGCCTATCTCCTGGGCCATCTGCTCTGGCCTCTGAGTAGGTAGAGAGGAGGCCTGTCCATGCGTCCCGTCCTCCTCCCACGCACCTCAGAGAACCCTACCTGGATGTGGTCCCTACTTAGCCTGCCTCGCTTCCTCCTACTCTGGGCCTCTGGGCACACAAGGCACATTCCAGATTCAGGGCCTTAGTGCTGGCCATCTTCTCTCCACCACCGTCTCTCTGTCTCAC